CCTATGGTTTTGTTTAGAAACGAGGGAAAGATATGAAACTTTTTAATTTTTATAATTTTGTCTTTTATGTATATAGGATGATCATTATTTATTCAGTTATGTATGGGCTAACCGTAGAGACGTGCGAGAGGCTCTTCATATTGATGAGGTTTGTAGTTCATAGTGAGTTATATTCAGGTCTCTTAAATTAATACAATGTGATGGGATAATTAATAATCTTATGATCAACAGGAATTTGATAAAATCGAGTGGGTACGTTGCAATGAAACCCTGTTTTTTTATATCGATAAGGAACCCATTTCTTACACACACAATGTCCTGAATACTGTTCCCTATCATAGACACCTTGCTAATAAAAATTGTCGAGCTCTTGTATACAGGTATTATATATAACCTTAGCTATTCTTCTTAATTTTTAATTTTCTTTTTCTCCTAGCGTACATTGTTGGTCGATCTTGTCCATGTATGCATGTGGTATTTAGGCACAATTTGGTATGCAATATATCAATAATCCAAAAGGGAATAAAATGGTACATTTTTGCCACATAGGAATGGAGTGGAACATTTCTTCAAGAATGGTTTATTACAACATTCCATTGGACAATAAAACAATTTTTTATTCGAATGTAATGAACCATTCTATTCTTTGACTAGTTCCATCTTACTAAACACTACCTCTAAGAACTTGAAAACAAACAAATATACATTGCATTCTTGCATGTTTATGTCTTTTGTTTGAGCAGTGGAGATCATGACATGGTGCATCCATATTTGGGAACAATGAAATGGATTGAATCTCTAAATTTGTTAGTTGTGAATGATTGGAGACCTTGGTTTTTCGACAAACAAGTAGCCGGGTTAGTTGCGTTTTCATTGCTATCATCACAATAAAAGCTAAAAAAGACAATATATCGACACTTCGCTTTTATCTTATTTTTTGCAGATACACCATGAAATATTCACACCATGAATACAACTTGACATTTGCTACTTTGAAGGTGAAAATTTATATTCCTTGACTTTATAATTAGAAGGATTATTTGTTGAACCTATTGAAAAAAAATAAATTTTATAGTTTTCACGAGGAAAAAGAAACATTTCTTGTTATGATTTTAATGGTTGAATATTTTGTAATGTTAAAGGGAGGAGGTCACACAGCTCCAGAATACAAACCTAAAGAATGTTTCAACATGCTGATAATGTGGCTTGCTAATGATGCTTTGTAAGCAACAATAGTGGAGTTTGATATTTGTGTCTTATAACGACCGATTTAAGCAACCATGTTGTAGCGGGAGTTTAAGTAATAATTTTTGTTGAAAGTACATTACACTTTTAATTCGATCATAAATAACTTCAAAAATCAAAACCTACATTGCAAAGGGAAAGATCCTCAGCTTCCGAATCTTGTTCATCACAAATGGATTATTCATGTGATCCTTTGTAGGAATACATACAACCAAAATTTACAATTTGACAAATTGTATAATTTTTCTCTTCAAATTATGGTGTTTAAATAAATAATTTAACTTTGACTATTCATTATCATATGATTTTTTAAACGCACAACACATATAAATAGAATAGCATCGTACTAACACTTATATGTTTACTCCAAATATCATCTTACTTATATGCGGCTGAAATTTATGTCTATTAGACTAGTACTTTATGTATTGTAGAGGGTACCAAAGTGTAACTTAGTCTAGTGTGTGTATATATATATATATATATATATATATATATATATATATATATATATATATATATATATATATATATATATATATATATATATATATATATATATATATATATATATATATATATATATATATATATATATATATATAAAGAGAGAGAGTCAATATCAAATAAGAATGAAATTTTTGGTAGGAAGGTAAGAAGTTTTTTTTTTTTCTACATATTTTTTTCGCGAACAAACAAAATGAATCATTAGATGATTCATTTGTAAGATGATTCACAAGAAAAAATTCTCAAAAAAACATCTCGATGATTTATTTATACAATGATTTTGTTGTTATTCGCTAAAATTATCATAAAAATAAATTTTTTCTTAATTTACTTAAAAATGAATCATAAAGATGTTTTTTTGGGAATTTTTTTCTTGTGAATCATCTTACAAATGAATCATCTAGTGATTCATTTATTTTGTTCGTCAAAAAAATATGTAGAAAAAAACTTCTTACCTTTCTACCAAAAATAAATTCTTACCGGATCTACATCCTATATATATATATATATATATATATATATATATATATATATATATATATATATATATATATATATATATATATATGAAAACCCTATTATTGTCGTGCCTTCTACATCAATTTAAGCCGGTTCTATTCACGCCACGTCACCTTTCTCTTGAAAGGACGCCATGGACATAACCACCGTTTCTTATGACTCGGTTCCATTGTGCCGTATCCACTTTTCTTTCTGGAATTCTGCACTCAAACACTTTTCCCCGACGAATCGTCCACCCTTCTCAATTCTTCCACCGATCCCCGTTCTCCATTAACCACAACTCCGAATTTTTCTTCAAGAAAACGCCCAACTAAATCCTTCACAGGTGACTCAACCATCACATCAGTTCTCTCTACCGCTTGTGGTATCGATTCAAAACATGTATCCCACCGTTTCCATCATCCATCAGAACACCTATATCCCAATATGATTTTTTCTTCTTCAAAACCCATTGAACCTGCGTACGTATGAAAAGTTAGAGAAAAACATATGACATGTTGAAGGTGAAGCATATTCCTCTTGTGGATCGTGATTTTGGGTCAAGATAACTCCATTTTCCTATTATGGTTCAACTGCAATCCATTATCTGTCCATCGCCTCTTCCCTTGTTCCCCCAATGCCTTCCTTATGCCACTTTCTTCTCTCTTGTTCCAGCGACACCCCAATTCCTTCATCAAACACATCTCCGCTGCTTCACCAAGCGCCTATCTATTACATTCATCTTACTGTTTTCTTACAGTTGGCAATTTGAAGTGTATAAGTATTTGATTCAGCGTTTGACTCTTTCTGCTCCCCTGATTCTGAGTATTCTAGCTTAATTCGTTTTTTTCTTAGCCCTAATTGCATTTTCTATCTATTTTCAAGGGTAGTTAAAGGTGTTTTGTGTTGGGGTAGTATGGGAACAGAGATTTTTGATGGTTAAGTGTCAGGCAAGTCTTATATAATCATGAAAATGGGCAATATATGTAGGTACTTGGGAACTTTTCAGATTCAAGATGAAACTACCAATGGTAGTTGTTTGGATAATCATGTTATATACATTCTATAGAATAATCGTTGATGCTTATATGCTGATACAAGTTAATATTCTTCTATATATAAGTTGGGAACATTGGTTTTGGGCAAGCATATGTTGGGAGGCAGGCAATTGTGGTAAAAAAAAAAAAACAGATGCTTATACATTTAAGCTTCTTTGAAATAATAAACAAAGACGTTAAATTGAATCATAACAAAAACAAAAGCTCCCTGTCAAATTTAAGTTAATTACATTTTCAAATTTGAGTAGTGTATAACTATTGATTTGATAAGGAAAAAGAGACAGAGCCTCATTTTTATTTGAGGTACATATGATTTTATGTTTTTTCAGTAATACCATCCCTCTCAAATACCGCAATTAGCTGAATTGCAAATTTTAAATTGACAGGAAACTTTTAATTTGTCATTAATCTGACTGTTTACAATAATCTATGCATCTGGTGGTGGTGTATGTTACAGTCCATGTTCGTTTTTTTTCCCTAGACTTGCCTATGGGACTTCTGGACAAGATATGGAATTTCTCTTATTTTTATTTTATTTTAAGGAACTTTATATGCAAGTTCTAGGCACTACCTGATTAATCTTATAAATTTTTATTATCGAAAGAGGTAGTTAGCTATACCTTTAAAGGCGGATGGTTATCACGGTACTTTAATTTCTATTTTGGTATTGAATGTTCATTATCTGTCCCTGTCATTCAACTTCTTATACCTAATTAGCTATCTCACATATTCCACCATTCTTTTACGTATTGTGATAGGACATGTATATGTGGCTATGTCTGTTGTGTGTGTGAGTGAGTGAGTGGAATGTGTGTGTGAGTGGGTGGGATATGTGTGTGCATATGCTTTTCTATGTTATAAATTTTTTATTTCAGTCTTTGTTAAAAATATTTTTATGTTATAAATAAATAAATATGATTATCTATAAAATTCAATAAAAAATCTAGTCATTATATTAAATTTTAACATATTGTAAATGAGTTGCGATTCATTTGAGAAATGAATATAATGCTTTCAACTCTCAAATTGAGAAGAAGCAAGGAACATGATATCTACAAATTAGAGGAAAAATGAAAAAGTACTATTATGTCTCAAACAAAATTAATACGCACCTTTTTGAATAGCTCAATCATTTGGTTCTCTTGGTTCTCAGATAAAACATCCCAAATTTTTATTAAGCTTTGTGGGCAAATAGTTTGAATATAACATATGCTAGTAAAATAAACGACTTTGACCCTCATAAGTATGTTGACTTCATTCCTACTTGGTCTAGTTATGTCTACTACTTTTTAGCAATCTTTGCATGGTCACTCTCTCTTTGTCTCTGTTTCTACCTTCTCTCTTGAGGCAAAATATACATGGTCCATATTAAACCACACACTATGAGTACTCATCATCTTACTTTATCATTCTGAAATCATATATCGTATTTGACTTAACAAATGAATACATGAAATCATAGTCATTTTAAGAAACTTGGGTAGCAGATGTTGTCGTTTTCACACCTTCCCTTTCTTCAAAAAAATATTACATTGATTAAAAAGAAAAATAATATATTCCCATTTTGGTATACAACACTTAACATAAAAGTACCATTTTTTAGTATAACTACAAGAAAAATACCCTTTAATAATGCGCAAACAATAACACTCGCTGATTTACGATACGCATTTTTGTGTGCCCCTAAAAACAATGTCAACCTTCCAAAATTTGAAGAATAGAGGACACGGTATTTTTGCGCGCCCTAAAATTAATGTCCAAGAAACAAAAATAATTTTTACGTCGCTTTATAATTTTTACTAAACGCGCGTTTCTGGACTCCTTGATAGGTAAGGGGAAAACTAAATCCCCCAAAATTTTGAACACCCGCGTTCCTCTTCCTCTCTACTCTCTACACCCGCCAGATCGACTTCATTCTCTCCCTTCCTTCTCTCTGCAAACCCCTTCCTCTCGGATCGACTTTCACTTCCTTCTATGTGCAAACCCTAATCAAACATAATGCATTTGCAATAGTAATATATTCTTTCACAAAATAGACGATTGACCGAAGAATGATTTTCTTTTGATAAATCAGACATCACCAACAACAATAGCTTCCATCACAATTTGTGGTTTCTTTCGGACTCCACCGTTACAACATTGCACCACAACACCAGCCCTGAGCCACCACCACACTGCCTTCGCAACAGCCCAGAACCACCACTACACCCCCACAGGTCTTTCAACAAACCCTAAAAAGTCGTAATCAGTTGTCCCTTTACAGATTTAAAAGTCTTGGTTGTCGTGGATATTGTCGATGTTTCCTCTTCTACTATCAACTCTCTCAGTTGTCGCTGTTGGTATTGGTGGTGCGACGGCGTGGGTTGCCAGTGGCGGTGACTGGAGGCGTTGTGGTCTTCAGGTCTCGCAAATCGATTGCGTCATCGCAGTTCAGTTTTACCGCTATCAGTTCCGATCAATTTAGTCTACGTAACGTCGCTCACCACCATGGTCCAAGCCACCGTCGCTCTCCATCACCGATTGTCTCTACAGGTCAGTTAACGTCTATTATTTTAAATTACGATGCCTTAAAGAAGAAGAACGCTTCCAAAAGTCATCATCCCCGGGGACAACGGGTCAGTTGTTTTTGTTAAATCTGGGTTTATTTTGGGGTTGTCTACTTGATTGGAGTTGAAAATCGTTCTCACTTGAAGCTGATCTCGATTATTATGTTGTCAAAAAGAAAAGTTCGATTTCATGCTTGTTTTGGTGAAATTGGTTATTGATTGTTTGATAGATTTATTATAGATTACTACAGGAGAAACAACTTGATATAAATCACGATCTCCGACCGTAAACTATCTTAAAATTTGTGTTTTTGACAATTCCTTTCTGACATAACTTTATGAACTTCCTAAATATTGGTGTTCAGACTGCAAATGTTGATGCAGTCATCTCTTTTCATGTATATCTGTGTGAATTTTACATAGGTTTCATTCCCTGACTTGCTTATTAAATCCATCAGGTAAGTTGTTCATGTCAATAATACCTCCGGTAGTTCCCGTGCTTCTGGCTCCGACGACTTTTATTAGGTTTTTGGTCAAACGTCTTCTAATACTTCATTTGAAATTGAAAGTCGACATTCCCCTCTTGTAGTAATCCCTTAACACTTCATGAATAAAATTGATTTGTTGTAGTAATGGCCCATTTGGACTTATTCGTGCATCTATTGCTAGTTCTTCAAAAAGAACAAAGTCCTCATCCTGTCCGGAAGCAATAAACAAACAATAACCTTTCTTCTTCCTTCTCGTTATGTGTTGTTTCGTCTGGATGTCTGGTTAATTCTGATTATTAAGGTTTCCATTTTTTTTTTTTGTCTCAGGTATCTTTATTTGCTCTTATTTTCAACATATAGGAGATGGTCGTCTAATCAAACGTCGAATAAGAGATGGAAAAGGTGCTATCTCAGTCCTTCAAGTAACACATAATTGCATATTAGTCCTTGGTTTATACCAGTAATGACACTGGATGTGAATTTTGAAACAATTAGGTGAATTTCCTATGGATTGCCCTCTTCAAGACAGTAGACTACGTGTCCATTACAAGGGCATGCTTCTTGTTGAGAAAAAGATAGTTTTCTATGATACAGAAGTTGATAATGATGGAGAACCTTTGGAGTTTTCCTCAGGGGAAGGGCTTGTAAGTTTTGAGTTTAAATAAAAAATGTGATTGGTGTTAGTTAGTTTTGTTGTAAATTGTAATATGAGGTTGTGATTGTGATTAGGTACCTGAAGGTTTTGAGATGTGTGTTCGACTATGTTGCCTGAAGAGGTATCACATGTCACCTGCCCCCCTGATTATGCTTATGACAAGTTCACAAGGTAAATTTCTGATAACTTAATACATACAAATATGTAAAATTATGAAATGAAGTAATATTGATGTTTGTTTGTTTGTTGTGTGAGTAGGCCAGATAATGTTCCTGAAGGTGCTTATGTTGAATGGGTGATTGAGCTTCTTGGTTTTGAAATGCAAAAGGTAAAACATTTTATTGTATTTTTAGTATTTGAGTTGATGCATCTGGAATTATGGATGAGTCATTTTAGTGGTGTATTCTGTATAATATGTAGGATTGGACTGGTATGGATTGGACTCATCTTGTAAAAATGTCTCTTACATCTTATCGTTACTCGCCCAAAGAATTGAACTTATCTAGCTTAAAGGTTTAATTTCGGATACTTAGATATGAATGCTTGTTAGATCATGGGAGTTAGTGATCATCATCCACGTTAGATAGATTAATTCCACATGTTTTTCATGGTGCACACCACTTGTTTGTAAAAATGCCTCTAACAACTTATCTATATTAAATGATTGATTTCTGATACACATTCTCAATCCTTTCAGCGCCATCTTTATTGGTTTCAGGTTATGTGAAAATGTTGAAGTCATAGGTTTGAAGAGCTCGTTCTACTATCCCAGACAGATGGCATGACATATCAGAAAAAGAGCGAGTCTTGTGTATAAAAGGAGGGGCCAATACTACTCTGATCAGGTAATGTTTTTAACAATATCTTTGTTCTAATTTTTACTAATATTGTCTCTGTTGGTAACACCCTCTCTTTAGCCTCAATTGAAAAACACATAACCACCAACTTATCATCCCTAATATAGATTTTTCTTTCATATTTAATAGATTATTTCATACTTGAAGGAGATACAAGGTAGCTAATGTGTATCTTTGAAAAGCTTCTTGAAGTTGATTTCCTTATATTAGTTATTTGCATATTTACTTTTTTGATAAACACTATATTTTAGCCATCCAAATTGGCCAAGGTTAGTGGTCTTTTAACTCTTATGATCTTATGAACATGGACACTTATAAAAATACATGATTTTAGTTGATTAATTATAACTATTTTCATTTCAGGCTTTTCGTATACCCTTAGGAGCTGTTGGATATTACATTGTTTCCAAATTTACCCCTATGAATACAGATGGTGAATCTGGTGAACCAACGTACATTATATGAGATCGATCAGTTGAAAGTAAGCGAACTTTATATACTTCTTTGATAGTAACTTTTTGTGTAACAAGCTTGTCACCAAGAAGTTGCAACTCTGATAATCAAATTCACGACACAAATGAGAGAAGATAGGAACAACTTTCGATTCTACTTGTTACTATACATTAATAAAATGCTAATTTCCATGACACACACAAAAACAAAAACAAGTAGTTTCCATTTTCTCTAAGAGGAGTCATCTACTTTTGGAATTTTAGATTAATGAATTTGTATTTTTTTTCCAAAGTATTAAATTAAGGATAATTTAAATAATTTGATGAGGGATTAATTATACTTACACGAAGAACTGGAGGGACTTACTTCTAATTACCCTAATCGCTTCAAAGTTTACTATGTATTGAATCAGGTAGGTATTATTCTTAGTAACAAAAAGCCTATGATAAACAAATCAATGATAGTAGGTTGCTGTTTGTTGCATTGAATTAAACCTAATAATTTTTGGGTTTATTATAAAATATAAATTAAAATAAAGGGCCTGGTTTTGTATTTGTGAAGCCACCATAGGGATGGACAGGTGGCGTTGGGTTTGTATGAAAAAAAATGATCCAAGACCATTTACCTGCACCTTCATCTGATATCAAGGTATCTTATTCTAATTCTACTCCTTTCATTCAAACATGTTTTCAAATATTTATTCAACAGTGGTAAAAAAGGCTAAAATACATATTATATGTTTGTTGTGTGAACATATTTTACGATGTGGACCACCACCAGTGAACAAGGCGATAGCTGCTCATCTTGAAGCTTTGGGATATGAATCAGATATGCTATTCCAATTTTAAATTCAAAACCTCCTATTCAGAATTTGAGATTTGAGATTCTGTTTGTTGTATTTGGGATTTTGTTAGCCAGAAGTGTGATGTTAGTTATGTGATGAATTGAAACTAATCTTATTTGTAAGTAAGTTTATTTATTTGTTTTGGACTTGAGCTTAAAATATTCTAAATTACATTTTACAGGTGTACGCATGTTTCCAGCTGGAAGCGGTATGGGTGTTATGTGTGGGATGACTAGAGGCATCAAGATGGCAAGACCCCCCTCTTCCTCCATCATGAATTCCACCACTGGTTTGTTGACTTCCAGTACACCAACACCAACACCTGCTCAAGGAAACTCCATGTTGAGATAATGTGAGGCTATGCATATGATTCGGGTGAGTTTCAGTTTATGTTATCTTTCACTTTATGTAATAATCATGTATAGGGAGAAAACAACTTCTATTGATTTGTTTTATCTTTCCATGGATCGATTATTTGTATGATATTAAATTTTATGCAATGTATTGTATTTTTTGTATAGAAAATTAGTAATTCTATAAATAATATATTTTTTTAACATTTAAAATTACGATACGCAAAAATGTGTGTCATCTTCATTGATGACAGGGGCTTCCTTGATACGCATTGCGTGTCATTAACACGCATGTAGTAATTCTCTCTCTCTCTCTCTCTCTCTCTCGATCTCTCTCTCTCTCTCTCTCTCGATCTCTCTTTCTCTCTCATGTTATTTATCCTAGATACATCTTTTTTTTCCATCTTCTTCTTCCTCAAGAACACTCAAGAACATCTATCATTAGCACCGTCCGCCACCACCCATAGATGAACAATCACACACGAAATCAAATGAACATACAAACACATGAAACCTAAAGAACACAAAAACAAATCAACACAAACATCCATCGATTTTTCAACAGATTCAACACAAACACACACACACACACAAAACCCAAAAATCGATTCTCTCTCTCACACACACACACGCACACACATATCTAAAACGTTATTTTTTTCTTCTGCTTCTCTCATACAGATCTGAGGTGGTGTTTGAACAGACTTGGGTAGAGTTTGACATAAATCCGGTTTTGTTAATGGTCTCATCGTGGGTTTAAGCTACCCTAGCTTCGTCGAGCAGTACATTGTAGGTGTCTCCGCCTCGATTTCCAGTAGCGAAACACCCATCTGAAAACCCTAGCCGCCATGAAACCATAACATCAATTCTCGATCTCCTTTCTCTCGTTGTAGGTTGTCGAGGTTCAAAGGGAGGGCACCAACGATCGAAGCTAGTGTTTGGGGCGAGGCTACCTGGCCGGAGGAGGTGGAGGGGTAGCCTAGTTCGGAGACAGTCGCCGATTTCTTCTTCTTTTGTTGGTGGTAAGCAAGACAAGAGAGAGAGAGAGAGAGAGAGAGAGAGAGAGAGAGAGAGAGGGTATTTTTTCTTTTCTTTTTTTGTTTTCTTCTTTTATTTTTGTAATACAAAAATTAAAAAAGAAAATATAGAGGACAAAATCGTTATTTTATAAAAAATTAAAGCAGAATGGACCAAACTATCAACAAAATGGAAACTTTTTGACAATTTGTGTTAGTCAAAACCTGTTTGGCCCAAAGTGCCAATTTTCGACATACCACATGGATAATTCTTACAATTTTGTTTAAAAACAATAATAAATAGTAGACAAAATTACAAAAATGGTTTATGGCATTAACAAGAAAGAACGACCATGCCATTTTATATTGGACTTAACTGAAAAAATTAAGATCGTCGGAAAAAAAAACATTGGTGTTCATTTCAAACATGAAATTTCTTGACCCCTCGTGCCCAAAATTTCTCAAAATGATATGCGGTATTCTTTTTTTGCAAACCGCAATGACCAAATATATCATAGTTTATTTATAAATTGATTTAAGTTAACAAAAAAACAATATAAAAATGTCTTTGACTTTTGTTTTTTAATTGATTTTGGTTGATTAAACGTCTACCAAGGAAACATAAACATGTGTGACAAAAAAAAAACGTTTTTCTTGTTTATAACATTTTAGCTTTTGTACGAAAAGCTTAACTATTGAATTCAATAATAGCGTTGGGGGTGTGGATTTTACCACTACCTAAAGAGATAGAAATCTTTAAGTTCCCAATCTTGTTTACAATATTTTTTTCTTAGAATTAAGCAGCATGAAATCAAGGTCAAAATCTCGACTTCAACCTTCGAGCCTTTTTAATAGCTTCAACATTCCGTTGTTATTTTATGTTTTTATTTTGTTAGTTTCTTTGGAGGTTACTGAATCACGGATCCTAGTTAAGACATTGCCTCACACTTGAAACTGGGTAAGGTCACTTTCTTTGTAATAGAATTTTGTCAACCGTTTATGATTATTATCATATATTTTCTTTAATAAAGCTTATATGCTAACTTATCATGACATGAATGTGTTGTAAGTTATATTGGGGTAGGAGAATCCAATGACGTTCAATTATTTTACTACTTTATTCCATCTTAAGGGAGCCCACAAAGCGACCCTCTCATTCTTTGGCTTACCGGAGGTCCTGGTTGTTCCGCTCTTTCTACCATTCTTTATGTAATAGGTATTTTTATTCAAATCATTAGATTTTAGTTTCTTTTTTGAGAAAATGTTATTGTAGTTCAATAAACTTTTGTTAGTGCAATGGATTCTTAATGTGTCATTTTACGTGTTAAATAAGGGACTTTTTTTCAAAAATTTTTAATATAAAAAAATCAAGACAAAACTGCAAAAATTCAAAAAATTTTAATATAAAAAAATCAAGACAAAACTGCAAAAATGGTCCTTATGGTATGTATTTTTTCCGAGGTTTAGTCCAAACCTCGTTTCATTTGGCTTCATGGTCATTTTGAGGTATTTTATTTGTGTTTTTGGTTCTTCACTAAATGGAAATGATTGTAATATCCTTCTCATATATATATATATATATATATATATATATATATATATATATATATATATATATAATATATATATATATATATATATATATATATATATATATATATATATATAGGTTCAGGTTCATTTGAGACCATTTTAATTTTGTGAGACCGTGAGACCAAATCTAAAAATAATTTTAAAATGCAAAATAAATGGAAAAATCCAAAAATTCTTTTTTTAACTATTATTTTCGGAACTTGAATTAGCTAAATAAAATATTAAAAATCGTAAAAAAAAAAATTCCATTTTTTTTTGAAAAATACGTGAAATATTCTAAATAGAATATTACACTGACATATTCTAAAAAATAATTTTAAAATGCAAAATAAATGGAAAAATCTAAAAATTATTTTTTTAAATATTATTTTCGGAACTTGAAGTAACTAAAAAAAATTTAAAAGAATTCTTTTTTTTTTGAAAAATACGTAAAATATTCTAAATAGAATATTACACTGTACATATTCTAAAAATAATTTTAAAATGCAAAATAAGTGGAAAAATCAAAAATTTTTTTTTTAAATATTATTTTCGGAACATGAGTTAACTAAAAAAAATAAAAAAATAAAAAAATACGTCTCATGGTCTCACAAATTATAGGTGGTCTCAAAATGAATGTAACCATATATATATATATATATATATATATATATATATATATAATATATATATATTAATATATATATATATATATATATATATATATATATATATATATATATATATATATATATATAGGGAAATGTGAATATACCATTAAGGGTATATAGCTTAGGTACCCAAACTCATAATAATACGTCGTTTTGTTTGATATATTTATTATAATATTGTTAAACTTCAATCCTTAATTTGATTTATATTCAATATTTTTAAATTTTCACTATTATCTGCTTTTTACATCACATCTTTTTGTCGAACACTTACTAGACTATATATATTATTGTTGAAAATGACAATTATGTAAGAGGAAGATAAATATGAAATTTATAAAAATCTTTGAAGTAATTCAATTTAGAAGTTGAATTATAAGAACATTGGATAATTACAATGTCTATATATGATACAAAATGATGTAGTATGGTGAGTTTGGGTACCTAAGCTTATATACCCTTAAGGGTATATTCACTTTTCCGATATATATATATATAATATATATATATATATATATATATATATATATATATATATATATATATATATATATATATATATATATATAGGGTTAGGTTCATGTGAGACGGCCTAATTTTGTGAGACCGTGAGATGTATTTTTTTTATAGTTAATTCAAATTCCCAAAATAATATTTAAAAAAAGAATTTTTTGATTTTTCCATTTATTTTGCATATTAAAATTATTTTTAGAATATGTACACCTGTAATATTCTATTTAGAATATTTTACGTATTTTTCAAAAAAAAAAGGATTTTTTTTAGTTAATTCAAGTTCCGAAAATAATATTTAAAAAAAGATTTTTTAGATTTTTACATTTATTTTGCATTTTAAAATTATTTTTTAGAATATGTCAGTGTAATATTCTATTTAGAATATTTCACGTATTTTTAAAAAAAACGGGATTTTTTTTAATTTTTTTTAGTTAATTAAAGTTCCGAAAATAATATTTAATTTTTTTTTTTTTTTGGATTTTTCCATTTATTTTGCATTTTAAAATTATTTTTAGATTTGGTTTCACGGTCTCACAAAATTAGCATGGTCTCAAATGAACCTGAACATATATATATATATATATATATATATATATATATATATATATATATATATATATATATATATATTTATGTTTTTTCTATTTAATTAAAAAAAAGAAATAAATAATAAAGTTGAGCCTCTCTCTCTCTCTCTCCTGTGTAAACCTACTTGCAATCTAACCCTTGTTCACAATCGATTCCAACATTAGAGATGCAATTTCTTTCTTTCAAACATTCGATTCCACCATCAAAGATCTGATTTACCCTTCTCAAACAATCGATTCTTGCATTTAGATGTATTCCCTTCACCTTATTTTCTTTCTTTCCTTTACCGATTGTGTGAGACACACACTGAAGAAGATGAACATGAAACTTGAATCCTGTACAGGTGGTATGACAATACAAAAAAACAACCCAAAATCGAAACTGAAACGATCCATATTAGCCATAGTACACCTTCGAACCCACCATCTCACTTCCCCATTCTATCGCCAACATCCCACTCAGAAATCAAAATCAAAAAATCGAAACTAATAACAATCTAGATCAAGTACAAAAATCAGATTAAAAAATCCAACACAAAGTGCTCATGCTCCAGGATCCACGACAAAGAAGGTGATGTACAAGATTGAAGGATCGTACTTGTAGAGGTGGCGCCGTGTTTATGATGAGAAACAGCGCCGCGTGGTTGATTAGGCTAAAGGAAGCGGTGGGAGAAGTCGTTTTTGGTAGAGACGTATTCTGTTTGTTTGTACTGCAACCTGAGATTGATTCAATTGTTGCCATGGCACTCATCGTCATCCTGGATCAGATGTTCATGTAGAAAGAGGATTTGAT